ATACATACACACCCACCCCACCCACCCACCCTGCCTCCCGCCACCCCTGAGGCCATGGCCTTCCATCCTTCTTCAGATCCACAACTGGACTCCCACGCCCACGTGAGAAAGCTCAGCTATCCGAAACCAGAAGGACATGATTCACACAAACACAGAGTCCACGGGGTTAGGCGTGAAGAAGGAACAGAAGCTGAGACATGAGGAGGCGTGGGAGAGGGGATGGCCCTTCGAGAGGAGGGCAATGGGTGGGTTGGATTGGAGCGTGTAGGACCTGCCGAATGTCCACCTGACGGTCTGCTCTGGAAACCTCTACCCAGTCACAGTAGAAGGCTTCCTTTTCTCCTTCACATCCCACTCTTTGAGGTCTACCGTGGCTTCTTCATCGCTGTGCTCCTGCTGTGTTGTGCCGCATTTTTGGCACACAGCAAGAAAGTGCTTAATAAATATTTAGCAAATTGCAATGGAATTGGAGTTTTTAGTGCAGCTTAAAGCGTTCGGAGCTTTAATGTTACACATAGAACAGTTACTAAGAGATGATGAATGATGCTCTCCGGAGCCGGGAAGATGAACTCCGGCTTCATCCCATCATCTCCTGGAGAACTGCCAGCAGCCGGGGAGGCTTCTGGCTGTGGTGCAGTGGTTGGCATTGGGTTGCCAACCAGAAGGTTGGCAGTTCAGGCCCACCAGCCCTCGGGCTTCCATAAAGAGTATGTTCTGGGGAACTGTCCAGGGAAGCTCTACTCCGTCCTGCAGGGTCGCTATGGGCGGAATCAACTTGATGGTGGTGGGTTCGGTGGCGCAGTGCTTGCACATTGGGCTGCTAACCACAAGGTCAGGAGTTCGAAACCACCAGCTGCTCTGCTGGAGAAAGATGAGGCTGTCTACTCCTCAAAAGAGTTACATCCTTGGAAACCCACAGGGGCACTGTGACCCTGTCCTGTAGGGTCGCTGTGAGTCAGCACTGACTCGGTGACCGTGAGTTTGGAGGTTTTGGTTTTATAAGGAGGGAAGCGTTGACTGCTGATACTGAGTGGAAAGTGATTTCGCCCAGTGTCGGAGTCTGGGTATGGAATCCTATTTCAACAGCTCTTCAGCTTCCTGGAAGCCATCCTGCGTGAACAGGGCAGCAGCCCGCATGCTCTGCAAACACGTGTGTGCATTACGAGGGAGCGGGCAGCATTCACACACATGGACCAGATGCACCCGACAGGTGGAAAGTCCCAAGGTTCCACCTTGAGGTCCAAAGCCCTGCTGTGTGTTGAGATGGGTCCCTTTCTGCCCAGGGTCAGCCCACAACTGTGTCGACCTGGGAGTGCTCCACTCGGGGGCCAGGAGAGGGACTGAAGCACACGGGTCCCCCTGCCAGTGAATCCATCCAGACTCGCAGTGACCCTATACGACTGGGGAGCATGTAGCCTCGTCTTTGCCCCTCAGAGCAACTGGTTGGTTTGAACTGCTGACCTTGTGGTGATCAGCCTAGCAGGGATTCAAGAGACAGGGTCAAAATAAAACCCCTGCACCCGCTGCCCTTGAGGTCCATCTGCCCTGTCGCCGCTCTGCAGGATGGGGTGGAGCTGACCCAGTAGGGTCCAAGGCGGTCAGTATCGACAGGAGCAGACAGCCTCTTCTTTCTCCAGCAGAGCAGCTGGTGGTTTTAATAACAGCCCCACGCCTGGCCCAGTGTGCCACTGTGTGCTCTGTGAGGACTGGAGCCAAGCTCCCAGCTGAAAGAGTGCCACTGAGGGTGTCGTACCAGAAGGCATGAGTGAGTCACCTGCGAGGTCGGAGCTTGGTGCGCCCCCTGGTGCTCAGGTCTGTCAAGCTGAGGTGGGGTCTCCTGATTTTTCGGCTCCTCTCATTGGGACTGTGGATCCGTTTGTCCTCCAACTGGTCCCCACTGACCCCCAGGCTCCAGAGCCTTCCGGCCTCGTGTGCTGGACATCACTTCCACTTTCCGACCATGGAGCTTACTCTCAAATGATGTCAGCTTATGTTTGGGAAACCTGGTGCGGGGGGTGGGGGTGGGGGGAGTCACGTGCAGCGAGAGAGCAGCCTCGGGAGACAAAGGCAAGAACCTAGACCCCTGTCTGTTCTGCACTCTCAGGAAAGCCCAGGTGGACGGACCTGCGTTCCTAAGAGGGTGCTGTTCTTCTGAACTTGCTGCGTCCTCCTGGGCCCAGCGCCCAGCGCCCTGCCCGCCACCTGCCCTCACCCCTGCATCTACCCAACAGCAGGGAGAAGAGCGGAGGAGGAAGCAGCCTCTGGCTTCTCTTTGAAGGCACGGCCTTAGCGCGGTAGCCCCAAGGACGCGGTCACCGTAGGCCCCGGGCTGCCGCCTGGGGTGTTTGTCCTCAGCCAGCGGCCAGGGGAAATGGGCGTCCATGGGGGAAGAGGCCTCGCACCCCAGAGGAGGGGCGGCCGCCTGTCCTAAGCGCTCACGTGGTGGCGAAGCCGTGTGCTTCAGAGAACTGGCCTCCACGGGCTGCTTCGCAGCCTTGGATGGTGACCCGAAGGGTCGCCCCCACCGAGCGCTGTGCTTTCCCGTTCACCGACGGGCACACATTTGGTGACACTGATTGATTGCAGGTGCCACACGTGGTGCCGCTCTCCCCACGCCCTCCTGGGCTCGTCCCCACGGCCCATGTTCACGGTGCTCAGAGTGGATCCCCGGCCTTGCCTCCCAGGACCCCGGAAGGACCTGAGCTTCTTCACCCCTGGGCCGCCCAGCTGGGCGAGGGGCGGCGAGTCCCTCCAGCTCAGGGGCAGCCCAAGGAAACACTGCCCGGTCCCCGCTGTCCTGTCCGTCCATCTCCCCGAGGGCTGCCTCTATTTCGCTGCCCCTCGCTCTACCAAGCAGGAGGCCCTTGTCCAGGGACCGGTCTCCCCTGGCGCCATGTCCGAGTACGTGAGGCGAGGTCTCCCCACCCTCGCCTCTCCAGAGCTTCTCCCGGGACAGATTTGTCGGTTCTCCAGGCGCGGTGCGCACTGCTGTCCCTGTTCCTGGGCAGCGCCGTGCTGAGACGCCACACAGGGCCAGAAATCGCTGAGGCTGCAGGGAGTGGGGAGGAGCCCGGCGTGGGGGGCAGTTTGGGGAAAGGAACTGATAAGATGAGAGGGTCCTCCCCGGAGGTGCTGGGCCCCCGAGTCCACACGTCTCCTGGGAGTGGAGGTCTCTGCCTATCTTCCCTGAGAGACACCCCAGATCCTAAAACCGTGAGCCGGAATGTTCAGAGCACGCTGTGACTACAGAGGTTGGCTGCGTTTTGAAGGAATTGCTGCGTCCTTTAATGATGACGTCTGGTAGTGATCCTGATAATCACGGACAATCATGCTGGCATAGTGGATTACACCCCGACTGCTCGCCGCAGGGTTGGCAGTTCAAGACCACCCACTGCTCTCTCTGTGGAAGAAGGATGAGGCTCTTTGCTCCCAGGAACTTACAGTCTTGGAGACTCAGAATCCACTCAATGACAGTGAGGTTTGGGGGATTTTTTTAGAATTGCCAATGGCACTGGCAGCCCCTTTTCTGACCCTACGAGGTCTGGCTTGAATCTACAATCACGGTTCACGGAAGCAGAAGTCACGAGGTCAAAAGACGTGGTGCTTTAGGTAAATCTGGTGCACAAGCCCTCTCTACAGTGTTGAAGAGCAAGGATGTTCCCTTGAGGACCACAAGGGACCTGACCCGTC